CCTGGAGATTTTGCCGAAAAACGCGTGTTGAAGCTAGTCGAGTGGTTTTCTGGTCACTGTCTTGCTAAAAAGAGCTAAAAATTACCACAAACCGGTTTACAGGTCGTACACTTCGCGGCCTTCTGATCCAGATGCAAAATATCAGCTTGCGAAGTTCGGGCATGCGCAGAAAGCAAAATTTCGATTTTCGCCTTTCTTGCCTCATTTTTTTTTCTCTTGCTGGGCATTTAGTAGGCTTCATTTTGATGGGAAGAGTTTTTAGGAAAGCTTTTAGGATCTTAGGATTAGGTGAAAGGAAAGGTAGGTGGGTAATGGAACAAGATTTTCATGGAGATTTTCAGGTCCTTGTCACGTGGTTTTTTGCTTCTTTCTCCGGTGTCCTTGACTGAATTGTGCTCATTCTGGTATGGTTTAAAAGATCTCTTCACTCTGCACAAGTTAGCGAAGAAAGTTGTCCTTGACCATTAAAACTGATGACGTCACAAAGGGTAGAAAGGACCTGGATCCGCATGGGCGGTTACGGGCGGTTCAGGGGCGAATGGGTTAAACCTCTCTACAGCGGCTACTTTTCTACTCCGCCACTTTCCTCTTTGCCTAACGTGGCCGTTCTGGAGGGTTCTACTGTGTACTCTATAGTAGGGGTAGCCTAAGTAGCAAAATAGTTTCTGTGCAAGCTAACAGTGAACAAGGAGGGTGGATCTCGGAAGGGGACACTCAACGAAGTTTATCCGGGGAGGTTCCGACTCGAAGTCTAACCCCTCACCCTTTTATATAACATTATGACTGAAAAATAGTAGCCCTTTCACATACCTACTTCAGAATATTGTATCCTATGTAAATGCTGTTAATACACCTTGGTTTTAACATAAACAAATCACTAAACCAAGAAGTTTGTTTGTCTCTTTGTGGGGTGTAAAAATAAGACTATTAACGCGATGTAAAATTTGTTTCACTCTTGGACTGTCAAATTATTTTTCTCTAAAATCACTTAGCTTTTGCCTCAAAAGTCACATAAATGTGCCCTGATCTGTGGATTACAAGTTTATTGTTTGATGTAAATTATGAATTTATGAACGGGAGCTTCGCTTTTAGCCCTGGCTAAATCTATATATTATCCCAACCCTTTCATTTGGATCAGGAAAAGAAAGACAAGCTGCAGAAAAGTTAACTTTATCTGATGTGTAATGCATCTTGCACCCGTCTCGTATATAGTCAGACTAGACAAGACCAGCTACAAAAACTCATTATGAAATTCTGTCCCAAGTTCCCCAAACTCTTGCCAAAGTTTCAGAGAGTCAAAGCGTCTCTACGTCTCTAGTGTAATAATCATTCTCATGTGAGGTAGGGGAGGAGCTTTGCGTGACGACACAAAAAACGGCTGCGAGGGAGACTACCCCCGGGGTGGATGAGTGGATATATATTTAAAAATAGTTCACTGAATGTATAATCGAACATCTTGGGTCATTTTCCCCTACGGCAAAATTTTTCCTTAGGACAACGTTAGTGCCTCAATACCTGACAACCAATATAAGGAAAGACGGATTGCCGGAGAATTAAACAAAACGGAATAAACCCTTTTAGCGTAATTATAACTAATGCGAAGATGGCCATACAAGAATCAAAAGTACATTGCATCAAATAGTAAATTTGTATGGATCTTCATAGCTCAAATGGTAGAGCAATGCAGCACTAACCCAGAGGCGGAAGGTTCAAATCCTGTTGAAGTCTTTTCGGGTTTATTTGCAATTGCTTAAACTGCAATGACCACTGCGACGATCATATCTTCATTTAAAACTAGCAAATAGTTTATTGCCAGTTTAAGTAAGAGAGAACATCTGCCACAAAGCCAATTTCTTTGTCTCTCACGCTCTGAATTTATCGGCTTAGAGGCTGAAATTCAAAAAGGTTTAAAACTGAATAATAAGAAAAAAAGAAGAACAGTAACCAGAAATTACATTCATGTTGGATTAAAGGCGCCCTTTGGCTGAGTATGAAGTAACGCCAGTTTTCCGAATCCAGACCTAAAACCCTAATTTAAAGCGAAATGTTTTCTTGAGGCGTAATTTCGTATTTTAAAATCAATACAGATGAAAGTTACTTAAGCCTAACACTAAAATACCTCTTATCTCGCGTAGTATAGACTTGCGTACATATAATCACTCCGTGAAATTAATAAAAGTTTCTACCTCCTAGATTCGTTTTACAGAAGTTATAGAAAGAAAAGTGTGAGATTTACTGACACTCGTGTCCAGGCTTACTCTTGTTATTAGAATACAGCTTTAAGTGTATGGTCAAACCATAGGCCTTTCCACTCAAATCAGGATATTTTTGAAAACGGATTTTTCAAAAAAAATACGCTTCCATATGTCGCATGTTGCGTACTTGCGTATCCACTTGAAAACGCTAAATTATCAAAAGATGGAAAGACGATAGCATCCCTTACAAAGCATGCGTAATGCTACGAGCACATAACATATGAAATCATTGTACACGAAAACCTCCGTTTTCGTTCATCTAAACGTGAACGAGAAGCCGGCGTTTTCAAAAATCTCACCTCTGGGATCCCGCGTTTTAAAAACTTGCCCGTTTTGGTGCCCGAAAACGCCGTTTACTGGTAGACGGAAGGCTATAACGACGAAAAAAATGTCCGCCTTAAAAAATATCCAAATACATGTGGACGGGGCCTTATAAATAAACAGTAGAAGCAGGAGCCCATATTCCGGAGCGAGCAACTTCCATGCGGTCGTGTCATGGCGTTTCCACGGACCAGTCTATTTTAAGAACGGTTTTGGCGCGAATTTTGAATATCTTTTAAATTCCACAAACCAGTCAGCAAAACCTACAGACCCAAAAATGATATTTTTGCCTTTTAATATCGTTTAGTTTTCCTTTTTGATATCTTAGGCGTGTTTCAAACGTCGTGCTACTGCCGTGCTAAGCTGGCTCGACTGTAGCTAGACCGCAGCACGACACTAGCACGACTTCGTTTCAGACGTCGAATTTAATTCAGTCGAAAAAACGGCTGTTGCCGAAAACATAACACAAAAATAAAGAAACGGTTTAGCAAAATTTTAAATATATTCGAATGTATTTATAATTTATGAATAGAGTTCGGCACGGGCGGTAGCACGACGTTTGAAACGGGCCTTATACTTCGAATGCGCTCACAGACGTGGTGGGGATTCTATTTTCGCGGGAAAAAGTGCCCTAAAATGTGTCTAAAAATAAACTGGTCCGTAAAAACTCCCTGACATATGCCTAGTATTGGAGTTGCTCGCTCCGGGTTATGGGCTCCTGGTAGAAGTCACTCACCTGATGAGGGTCACAAGTTCCAGTGAGTCCGTGTTTTGTCTTTACCTGTATTTAATGGCTAGCGAATCGAAGTACAGTTTCTCTAACCAAAAGACAGTTGGAAAACACTTTTGACTTTCGAGATGAGTAGAGAAGAGAAGAGTTACGTCACATAGTCAAATTTGTGAAATTGTGGGATTGGATGGCATATTCAGAAAGAACAAGTTGAAAAAAGCCCCCTTACCAAAACTCATCCTCTAGCTGTTAGTCCAAATTGGTTTGTTCTGATGACTCTATACATTTCGCTCTAAAATTGGCTTGGATCGTAACGTTAGCGATCCAGGCCTATTTTGCAAGGATTCATTCGGAATCATCGGCTCATAGCGTTGCTTCACCAATTTTCATCTTGTTCTTTCTGGACATGCTAACTAATCCCTTAATTTCACAAATTTAGTTTTTCAAGAAGACTTTATGTCCTCTGAGTTGTTGTGACGTCATCAGTTCTCTTCTTTGCAGATCTCGTGCTGGAAACTCGACGACAACGTTGTCATTTCTTGGTTTTGACGGAGAGTTGGCCATTCGTCCACAGCGACAAACACTATATGTATGACTACATGACAGCTTAACAGCTAAAAGTACAGAGAAGAATTGACCACTATATTAACACGAAATTAAAGAAACGTTTGTTCACATTTGTCAATAACGTTTAGTACTTAACACAAAACACCAAACACGAACGACACAGACTCGTTTACGCAAAGTATATATGGATTTGCAGTGTCTTTGGACATCAAACGTAATTGAACAATGTTTGGAAAAATGCATCTGTGCGTATCATGTTATGAAAATCCACATAAATATCATGCCAAAAATAAACAGTGGACCACATATGCGCTTGTTGCATTTAAATACCCGCCGGCGGGCAGTTTTTATGAACACTAACAGTAATATAACAGTCGCTATAGACCATATAAACAAAATGATAAAACTCATCTTTGAAACATTTGCCCTGCAAGAGGTTTCTCTGAAGACAGAAGAATGCAGATGTTTTCTTCTTTTAAAAATAATTGGAGACTTATTTCCCACGTCGACTCTTGCAATGCCCTCATAGCGTAGAAATTCACAGCTTTTTTGAAAGTCTGTGGAGATAGATACAGTATACGAGATCCCATTAATTTCTACAACTACCTTAGCTCCGATGTTATTTCCCTGCAATTTCGGTTTGGATGCCAAATTCCCAGGAGCGACAAACAGATATGCCATTCTCGTCCTTCTCTCAGCTAAGTTAGTTGTAATATTGAGGAAGTGAGTTTTCCTTTTACCGACTTCTGCCCCCCATTCGTTGCTTTGTGATTGAACGGTGCTTTGCCCTTGATGAGCGTTTGTCCAAAAAACCAGATGAGTCTTGCTGTTTAACATTATCGAAGCTAACTGATCTCCAGTTTGGTCTTCTTGCACCTCAAAAGAAGAGTGTCGATTATGGAAAAAAGCCCCTGCGTATCGAGTTGAGCTATTCCATGTTTTCTCAATATGATCAATGACCAAAAGAACTCCAGGATTTAAGAGGACTATAGATCTATACACACTTGAGAGACCCAACTCAGATCTGTACCAACCACTAAACTCGCCACTAATAAAAACTATTTCTTTGGCATTCGAGGCAGCAACAATTTCCGCATCGGCGAACCAGATTGCATCGTTTTTGAAAGCTAACCATTTGCCACAGTCGCCAATTTGTCCTTCAAAAGGCCCAGAACACGTCGTTCCGTCGTGGGACCAAATAGCAGAGCGTTATTGAGCCATGTGTATTTGGGTCCATAGAGGGCCTCGGTGATGAACGGTATACCGTAGGGTACAAAAACAAAGGAACCTTGATCTGGATGTTCATGTCCTGGGTTGAAATTACGCCATCCTGATATCCAGTCATATTGCGTATGTCTTACAATGCCATTTATGGTTCTTCCGTGCAAAACGCTTGATTTAAAAGAAAGAAATGTAATTTTTTCCCGGCCTTTTCCCAAAGATCCGCCTCCATAGGTCACAACACCCCAGTCGTCAAAAACATGAAGTTGAGGAGTTGAAGTATTAGGAGGCTCCTTTTCTGGAATACTTGCATTATAGAAAATAAACTCCGTGTGAAGTGTGCAAAAACGTTGTGCGAAGGCTTCTTCCATTGTAGAATTCTCAACACGTAACATGCGGATTTTCTTTGCAAGCCAGTTGCCATACCCATTTCGCATAACGTGACCATCTAAGAAAACAAGCTGGCTTTCGGGTCCGTAAAACCAGGTTTGGTTTGAGTCGGCAATACCAACAGTTTCTGTAAAACTTGGAAGAATTGTGTGGTATAAGAACCAGAAGTGTTCTCGCAACCAGATGTTGTTTGTCAAATCAGTTCCGAGATGTCTCTTAGCCAAGAAAATATACTGAGTCAGTGATCGCGTGGTGTATGAGCCATAAGCCACGCCCTCTTCCATAGACCCATCGACGATTTGGTCAAGAAGAAACATGGTTCTCCTCAGCATAAAATGAGCTCTTTCTTTCCAAACTTTCGCTTCTTTGATGTGCGGTTCAACCACTATTGCACCTGTAAAAAATACAACGTAATTAGTAGCAACATGATTCTGAATGTACTGTTTTCCCCAAGCGAGTTTGAAAGATCTCTCGTAAAGTTCTTTTGTGACATCTGAAATCTTTGCAAGGGCTTTTATTCGAAGGTCTTCCTTTAAATGTTGGAAAAGAAAATCGTAAACGGTTGCCATAGCAACCAAGCTGTGTGCCACAGGGACGTCATCCCTTATTAAAGCACTGACATGCCAGTTAGGCAAAGAGACAAATGCATTAAAGAACTGCATTGCTACGTTCCTTGCTTGGACGTCCGTGGGGTTTAAAACACAGTACATGGCTAAGGCCGCAAAGTTATTGCCATGATCTTCGTTCCATCTACTGGCAAACACGCTCCAGTTGGTTGGTGGAGGAAATCGCGATGGTTCAGCTTTCATTCTACGCGCTGCTGTTCTCAAGCGAACAAATATATCGCGATGGGTCGTTTTGGCTTTCTCTCGTAAACGATGGACATCTTGGGATGAAAAGTAAAGAAACGGATGAACAGCTTGTTCGTGTGCAGGCTCGATCCAGTTTAACATGAATATCACAAGGAAGCTTACGTGGATCAACATTCTTTTCGAGATTAATGTCGGCGGACCAGTCTCTGATCTCTGAAAAAAAAAATAAATGAAACGAAATGTAAGTGTACTTAAGTTAAAATAGGTAATACTTCAATTTGTCCTTTGTTTGTCCTTACTTCGTACATCACGATTCTTAAACAAACAGTTTCGCATTTCAGTCAAAACTGAAGAAAAATGGTGATAAAGTACAATAAAGCAGTTTTTTTAAGAAACTAGGACTCTCTTGACGTTCCTGTAATAAAAAAAAAGAAAGAAAAAAAGCGAAAGGATATCACTTCGAAAAATAATTTACCGTCATAATTTTAAGCCTTTTCGCCGCGTTTCGTTTTAGACAAAAAACATAATTTCTTCACTTTAGTTTCTTATGTTACTTATACCTCTTTTACTCTGTTTAAGTTCGTCGTCGGTAATTAAAAATGAATTTAAAAATGGATTTGATAAACAATGGACTAAAAAATTGCTTTTTTTAAGGTTATTTAGTACAATCTTACTCATCAGTCACTCACCGTTACCACCGAACTATCTCAGATTTCATTTTCATTGAAAAACCGGTCGTATATTTCAAAAGAAATTATCAGCCTTTTGAAACAAAGGACACAAATGAAAGAAATATCTTTACACGTGACCATTTTTATTTCAAATATTGAAGAATACAGCTGATTAAATATAGACACATTCGAAGGCCTTCTCCTAAGTGACGCCTTTTCAGTTAATGTCAACGTTTATGTCATCGTTTGTGTGTCAGTTGGGGTCAGTAAATGAAAAAAGCCAAAAGCATATCACCTTTAGAGCCTGATGACACATAAGCTATGTGAGTGAAATTGAAACAGCTCTTATCCAGCCCGTACCAGTTTAGTACTCTATCCAATTCTTACTGATTTGTTCGACTTTACTAAACAACTGCGACTCGCATTCACTTAATTGTGACAGGAAAAATAAACATATTGCAGCTCCAAGAAGCAGAGGCGACGGAAATTAAACAACTCAAAACTGTTCCGAAAGGACACAACATCATTACTTTCCCCCATTTATATGTCATTACACAAATGCCACTTAAAATTTGCAATTTCAAATTTCACAAAAAGGTTTTGCTAGTTTAATGAATTAAAAATTTCTCTGTTCGCCCTGCTCCAAGCTAGATTTATTATTTGTAAATAGGAAGAAAAAGCTATAAACGTGGAAAAAGCAAATATTTGCACACTAAAGAGACTCAAACACAAAACCTTCAAATTTCACCACCTTCGGATGTTAGTAAAATCTATTATAATGTTATGCCTTTTCAGGATGGTTTTTGAATTTAATTTCTTTCTGCTTTGCTTCTAGGAGCTGAAATCTGTTTATCTTTCTGCTTTTCTTCGTTCCCTTTTTTTTGTCTTTTTTCAATAAAAGCTGTTAAAGTTAAAAATTTATGCTGGCCTTGTACCCCTAGTTTCAACAAGCGGTTTTTGAAAAGTACCTCTGCACTTCCGGAATATTCATCCTACCCTGCGCCTGATCAAATAAAAATTCAGTGGACGCCGCTCTATGGACACCCGTTTAATACGTGTTTGTTCCAACAACAAGCTCTTATTTTTTCTATTACAAATAACGGCTTAATACGGACACCTAGATAACACGGACAAAGGGGCATGTCCCCTTTTTATCTGTAGTAAGTCGAAATACCACTGTATTGTAAATAGCCAACTGGTTGCCTCCTGCCAGTTGGGGGTTTTAATCCTGTTTATGTTGTGTTTGAATTATTTGTTTCTAAGTATTTGAGTGGAGTGTCTGTAAACTGGCTGGATAAGCTAAGTGCACTTTCCGCTATAAACAAGCTGTTAAACCTTTATACCTCTTATGTGTACATGTATGTTACTCAACATTGTGTGTAAATATGAAATCCTTTTCTGTGATCCGTCAAAATGAAACATCTTTAGGTACTTGTAGTTTTTCCTTAGATGTTTAGAAGAGTGTAATAAAACTTCAGCCAAGCAGCCATTTTTGACACGATGAGGACCGACACTTGTATCATCGCCGGCGTTTTGCGACACAAATTAGGGAGCTTAAGCAACGACGACGGCGACGTCAACGAGAACGGCAAAAAATCAATAGGTTTTCATTGGCAAAACGTCAAAAAATGAACTTTGCACGTGCATCACGCTTTTTTGTACATTTCTTTGCCGTCACTGCCCGACTACAACGTGAAAAATTTTCACGGTTTGTGGAGGACGTGAACACAAGACAACGACTTCCTTTTTCTTTCCCTGAACTCACTTCTAAAGAACGACTAAACTTCCCCTAAGACAACGGAGCAGGTGAATGGTCTTTAGGTCAAGTAAAAAAACATATATTTCTCGTCCCCGCCCGCTTCACTTTTTGGAAGCCGCCTCTCTTTTTTTATTATTTGTTATTACTAACGTTTGTACGAACGAAAACCAACAGGCGAGAGGACCGCTACCCGTTCTGCAGTGTATGGTACGAAAGGGGATACAAGCTAAAGAAGAAAACACGAGAAGAGCTTTCAGGCAGGCTAAATCATAGTCCTATTGACGTTTTTAATACACCCTTCCTATTGCAGTACATCGTATGATGTATCACGTTGTTGTTTAAATCATGTATCAAAATAGAACAAACTTGTGTTAAAACACTATATGACATCTCATTTTATTATTATTTGACCTAAGAACTCCAACTTATCCCTAGCTGGGGGAGGGTAGTAATGTGTAAATAAAGCGTTCAATTGGAAATATTAAAAAGGTCGGAAATAACAAAAAGAAAAGCGCCCGCCCGCTCTCGTTTTTATAGAAATCGGGAAGAGAAATATTTTGTTTTTTTGCTTGGCCTTACATGTTTTAGAGCAGCTCCAAATTAACCAAACAAACCCATTTGAGGCACTTTTCATGTATAGAAACATTTGGTTGTATTACAAATAAACTTATCGTGATCAGTCTATCGCCCGAGTGACCTCTTAAAATATTTTAAAATGTGTTCAGGCAACCAAGACGATTATTGGAATACCTCTCATACCATGGGTGACGATCCTTACCATTGAGCGACCGAAACCCTTGAGTAGAACTGAAGTCTTTAGCTCGTTTCCATATCTCCCGTTGAAGTCCTGATTTTTTTTTCCAGGCTTCTTACGCTATTGCATAGATTGCGTTCACAACTGCAAGGATAATTCTTCATTTGATATTCCTCTGTATCGTCTCGGGCTTCCAAACAATCGATACCAACCTAACGTTATAGGCAGAATGCTCATAACATGTTCATAACATGGAGATAATTACAAACGGTTACACATACAGGTTGTGTGGGCTTCCTGTGATTAGATCTAGAGAACCTGGCCCGTTTCTCGAAAATCCCAGTAACTTTAAAATATTGAATCAAAATCTAGGGAATGAAAGTGCGCGTCCTAGCTAACAAACCAGTACATTTTATTTTGGTAATGGTAGCCATATCATATCTGTAAAGTTAGTAAAAACTCGACAATGAAGTTTTCTTTTTGCAGATCTTTACTGAGTTCTTTCTCGCAGTTCCGAGCCAAGCGTGTTTTCCTCTCTCCCCAGCCTCCGCGCGCCCTGCAGAAGACGATTTTGCGGAAAGGAAATCCTTGACCGTTAGAAGGTTATAAGTATCTTCGGGGGATGGGGTGAAATTTTGCTTAGTACTGGTTATTTTGGGTCAATTTTCGATCAGTCTTAGAGATGAGATTCATTTTGGAAGCCGAGGACAGTTGAACTACGCGATGTTTTTCAATAGCGCATTCGTTCTTATTCAATTCTATACTAACTCAGACAGTCAACGTGATACACATGAACGTATGAATTAATAACTAAAAGGTGGTGTTTAGTTTTAGGGTACAAAAATTATTCAGTGATTTTTGAGGTATATAGCGTTTTTGTGCGCGTAGTCTTTAGGTCCAACGCGAATAATGAATAGGCCACTTTACTCCCTCTTCCTCCCCATCTCCCCGCCCTGATCATGACCCGTGGATAGCGCGGGCTGCAGAATATGCGCATTTTTGGTGGTGCGGAATATGATGTCACGTCTTGGCATGTTTAAATATCCGCTTTCATATTCACACGATATTTCCCTTCGTCATTCAAGCAGACGCTCTCATTAACAGCTTGCAATAAGACTGAGTGAAGTGGCAAAAAGTAAGTACATTATTTGCATCAACAATGAGAATATAGAAATCCGGTGTTTACTAGTACTAAAACATCTTTCCTTAAGATATTAAGAGCAAGCACTACACTAAGAAGTCACCGAAAGGTAATACAGATAGATTCAAGAACTCTTACATTAATCGCTTAATTTTTAAATACAATTTAGCTACCTGAGCGTATTTTTTTTTTATTGTAAATAACTTAAATATACATACTTTTACTCAAATATTGTATCATAAGATATGTATTTTTTATCTTGTGTGGAAATAAAGACTATTATTATTATTATCATTATTAACTAAAAATCCGGCTGGATGCTGTTTCACGCTTGACGCATTTTACACTGAAAAGGTAGAAAGGTATATCATTTGATGTTTCAGACCTTAAAATTGTTCAAAACGACGTCGACTGAAAACCTTTTTCGCAGCGATAATAATACCTCTCTGTAACTATGCGTTGAGTATTTTTGTCAACTTTCCGCGGTGCCGAAAACGGGCCGTTTCTTAACACAAAGTTTGAATAAATTTTAGCCTGGAGCAATGGTTGAAAGTATTGAGCTTGAATCATCATAAATGTACATGATCCTTCTTGGAATGCGGTGGAGGTGAGGTAATTTATGAAGATACCGGTCATAGATCGTCTAAATGTAGGGACTAAATGTAAGAAAATGATAACATCAAAACGTTAAAGAATGTAAGCGATGTGTTCCTGTTTCTTCAAGCTTATTTGAGTTCCATTGAGCGTGTCGGCATTATTCAGCAAAAACGGTAGTTGTTTTGCATAGCATGTATAGATGAATTGCAAAACAGTATGAGGCTCTCCTGCAGGGTGTAAGATATCAGCTAT